TTCTTGGGAAGAAAGAAATGTGTACTGACCACTTGGAAGGAACTTGTTACTATGGTTTTGATGCACGAGTATCCACTTGGAATGGTGGATCACTTGTACTTCAAAATCTTTTGTAATTCTCTGCAGCCTTTGTTCAAAGTTCCTTGTAGGAACACTTGCAAGAGTGTTATTCTTGCAATGTATGCGATTGAGAGAAAAAAAATGCAAAAGGTGATTGATGGCAACAAAGGCAAAATTGCTTTCACAACTGATATGTGGACAACAAGTAATCAAAAGAGGGCATACATGGCTGTAACCTCTCATTATGTCGACAACCAGTGGAACCTTAGGAGTCACTTGCTAAGGTATATGCCTCTTTCAATTTTGTAGTTTCAAATATCGCAGAGTTGTAAGTTGATGTTTATATCTTTGTTTGATGTTTTCTGAGTGTGGAACAGGTTTCTATATGTTCCAGCCCCCCATACTAGCGAGAAATTAGCAAGTGTGCTTCGAGAGGCCCTCATGTCCTAGAATGTGGATTGTAAGTTGTCCACTATCACTCTTGACAATTGCTCTACAAATGATGTCATGATTGATAAGATTAAAAGAAAGATGGTTCTTTCTGACTTTCATTTGAATGGTTCGTTGCTGTTAAAGATGGGCTTGAAATTATCAAAGATGAGAGTGAAAAGATTAGAGAAAGTGTGGTGTATTGGACTACAACTCCAAGGAGAGTTGAGTTCCTTGAAGAGACTGCTAGGCAAAAAATGTTAGTATTGGTACCAAACTTGCACTTGATTGCCTTACTAGGTGGAATTCCAGCTTGCATATGCTTGAATCTGCAATTCCATACAAGGAAGTGTTCACTCGTTTGAGTCAGAGAGAACCTAATTATACTTCTTTGCGTAGCAGTGATGATTGGATGTTTGCTACTGTTGTTACTGAAAAGCTTGAGATTTTAAGAAACATTTTTTAGCTCCTTTCTGGAAGTAATTATCCTACTGCTAATTTGTTCTTTCGAAGGATCTGTGACTTGAAATTGAAACTACTTGAGTGGATGACTGATTTTGATATCATCATTAGTGAAATGACTGAAAAATGTGGGCCAAGTTTAGCAAATACTGGAATGATATCCACGTATTGCTCACTGTGGCTGTTGTTCTTGATCCTGCATACAAACTTGAGCTGATTCAGTACTATTATGATAAGAGCAATGTCTCTGATCCTTCTTTTGATCCTGTGACTGTTAAGGAAATTTTTTATGATGTGGTCCGTGAGTATTAGTTGAAACAAAAGGGCAGGGATGACCTTCAGCCTCATCTACTTCTGGCAATGGTGTTAATGCCACTTCTGGTGAACTTGACTTTAAGCTTTATTTAAGCCGAAGGAAAAGGTCCAAAACAATTTCCCTATGCTCTGAATGGGACCATTATCTCAGTGAGGATGTTAGTCCTCGTAGTTCAAATGTTGGGGTTTTGGATTGGTGGAGGGTGAATGCTGGAAAATACCCACTTTTGCAAGAGGTAGCAAGAGATTTGCTTGCTGTACCAGTAACCTCTGTGGCCTCTGAGTCAGCCTTCAGCTCTAGTGGTAGGCTGCTAGATTCTCTCCGAAGTAGGCTGCACTTTGAAACTGTTGAGGCACTCATGTGCACTCGTAGCTGGATTTAGAGTGACATTTGCAAAGGTAAGAGCTATTTTTTTGTTTTTTTCCAGCTTTGCTCGAATTTCAAATGTTTAAAAAGCTTTGTTAACTACTCTACTTCTTCTGCAGAAGCTGGAAAGCCTGATATTCAAGGTTTGGAAAGACGCTTCTCTGCCTTGACAATGGAGGATCCAAGCTGTGAAGACTTTAAGAAAGAAGGTAAGTTCTCTAGTGAACTGTTTTTTCAATTATGAATAATTACTTGATGCTGAAGGTAAGTTCGCTGCTTGCCAGTTGCCACAGATCTTCAAGGTAGTCAGAGTCGTACACTCTTGGACATTGAAGATTGATGACTTGATGGTGTCTTGCTGCTGTCGATTGCTTTGATGATGCTTATGCTGATTTGCTCGAAGGGCTTTCATTTTGTTGAGTGCTTGCTAGTGACTAGTGGCTGTTGCAATGCTGCTGTTGAAGAATAAAGACAATGATCATTTTGTTTGAAACAATGAAGTTGCTCATTTTGTTGGTTGGTTGAAGATTGAACATTTTGGAACGAGTTTGGTTTCGTTTGGTTTACGGCTTATGCCTTTATGGATGTTGGAATCCAATTTGGAACTTGTTTGCTTTGTTCTAGATAAGGATTTGGTGAATGGTGATGCCTGGTTTATGCAGTTTTCAGTTTCAATGCTAGTGTATTTTGTTGGTCTTTAACATTTTTTTGATGGTAGCGGGTAAACCCGCTATAACGGGTTCAAACCCGTTGCCCGATGGTTTCGGGCTTGGGCCTTAAAACAAGCCCGATATTAGTAATGGGGAGGATTCGGGGAAAATTCGTTAGCAATTTGGGCGGGTTGCAAATAGGCCCTGTCCGGCCCCGATCCGCCCCTTTGCCAAGCCTACCCAACACGGTAACCATGCCTATCACCCTTGAACCTCATCTCCCTATCAAAACGGCCAAGGCCACTAATTCATAGAAAATCGAACAGGGAACAATAAACCCATTGCACAACAAGCAAGTTATCGAGAGAACCTCATCTCCCTCATATTCATTAGTTTTACTTGTCTGCTATCATATTGTAGAGAGATTCGTGACACACATTAACCATGTATATTAAGTAAATAACTCTAGGTTGAATCACCTTTTTCTGGATTGTACCACTGTTAGAAATTTTTGGAGGATGGTTTCCTTGGATGGCTCTATTTTCACATTGCCGTCGAGAGACATTGTGATGGTGTTCAATCAGTGGCCAACTAACTCAGGGGTAGATATCGAGGGAAGATTTGTCCAATGTGCCTTACACGCGGTTTGTTGGATGATTTGGAAAGAGCGGAACAAGAGGGTATTTAAAGATTAGAGCTGTTCTTTAACTGGTCTTGCTCACCAAACCATCAGAATGATAATTGGCTGGATTGTTGCGAATGGTCTGGCAGACAGGAATCAAGGATTACAATGGATCTCTCATTGGACGTGATAAGAAAAATGATAAAATGAATTAAAGGAAAATGAGGGTTATCAGCCGCTTTAACAATCCATTAGACGGAAGGATATATTCGTTATGTTTTGATATTACAAGGGTATGCAAAATTTTAGTAGATGAGTACAATTGTTAATTTGCAATAATAGAGGGGACAAAATGCTATTAACCCTAATAAATACAATAATGGAGAATATGAGTAAATATCGTTAGAACTGCTTCTTTCATTTCCTTCTGGGGTTGGGCAGAGGTTCATCAATAGTTCTCAAAGGGCGAGAGGGTGTTAACCAACTCAACAAAAACTTTTATGTTGTGGGAGATATGGTTTAGGCGCAACCATAAAACATACTAAGATTTTCCTCCAGTGGTGGAAAGAAAAGAGAGAAGAGTGAAATGTTGCGAGTAATGATGCAAATGAGGGGTGGTATTTTATGAGGTTTGTGAGGGGAGGGAGTGGATCATAGAAGAGAAGAGCAAACCACATGGACCGCTGATCGTCAAAGCGATCAACTGTTGTCCGCTTCTATCTTTAGCAATTTGTGTTGATATTATTGAGCCATTAAGTGATCAAACACGCGGATTTCCTCCCGAGTTAGCGACTTGAAGCATGGTGTCGTCTATTGCGCTCGTCTGAAGCAATCTCCGCGTCATTCACTATGAACCAATCGCGTAACTGTAGTGCGAACCACAAGAATCACTTTTATTTCGAGCAAACAACCGAGTGATTCACTCCATATTTAGGTGATCTATATTAAGCGCTTTATATTTCACCAGACCACTTTTTGGTTCATTTGTGTATCAAGCAAACTAACCCAAACTCTAGTACTTTGAAATTTTAGTGCAAATATGATATTAAGAGAACTTTTTTTTTGGTAACTCTAGCATTTTGGAAAAAAAATCACCCGACAAGAGCATTTTGCTAGTTGTGTCTTTTTCAAAGAAATGAAGTCAGTCATACTATGAACCGGTCTGAGTGTCAGTCATACTATGGGAAATCAATGAATTATTTTATAGAAAAATGGTCCCATGAAGATGAGAGAAGTGCAGTTGTAGTATTTGTTGTCTCTTCCTCTCTTTAGTCTTTATGGAAGTGAAGGGCAGAGCCGTATAGATAGTGGACCAAACTCTTTTGGCGGGTGGGTTGGGAAATTACGTTAAGGCAGCTGAGCATAAAGCCAACCAGTGAACCAGCTGCTGAGAAATTACCTTGGCCCCGTACGAAAATTACAAGCAGGGGATGGGAGTAGGGCTGCAAACGAGCCGAGTCGAGTCGAGTTTTTGCTTAGCTTGAGCTCGGCTCGTTTATTAATTTTTCAGCTCGAGCTCGGCTCGAACTCGAATTTTGATAATCCAGCTCGAGCTCGAGCTCGGCTTGAATAGAAATAATCTAGCTCGAGCTCGACTCGGTAGAGCTCGATAAATGCTCATTAACATAGCTTGTTAAGCTGAGTACAAGCTCGGCTCAAGATGAGCTCGATTTAAAATCATTTTTGCTGGAAAAATGTATAAACATAAGAATTTAAATGATAGAAAGAACACTAGAAACTAGAAATAACATCTAAATTTCATACACATCTGTATTATAAGACAATGTTCATGTTTAAAAGAGTAATTCATCCTTCCACAAGCTCAAAACAAGGCAGCTCGCGAGCTTAGCTCGACAAGCCACCGAATCAAGCTAGCTCGCGAGCTTATCAAGCTGAGCATGGTCTAGCTCAGGCTTGGCTCGTTAACTAACGAGTTGGCTCGCGAGCCGGCTTGTTAAATAACGAGTCGAGTGTCGAACGAGTTTTTTCCGATTCGAACGCCGAGTTGCTCGCGAGCGGCTTGGCTCATTTGCAGCACTAGATGTAAGGGAGGAAGTCAATGCAATATACAAAGACTAATAAAAGACGGACTAGTCGCCGTTTGGAAAAAAAAAAAAAAAAAAGAAGAACAAGACTAGCATTTCACACTGACAAATCTCCCTCAACTACTCAGCACATTAATTCAAAGCAGAGTTCCTTCCTTTCATCAATCTTTCTTCAGAAAATGGATTTCACGCTGCTGCTCGCCTTCTCCTCCTTAATCCCAATCATCATCGCCTCTGTTTCCGGGGACGAAGCTATTGACTACTTCACGGTTTGCTCGCAGCCTTTCGATTGCGGGAACAAAACCAACCTTTCCTATCCTTTCTGGGCAACCGATCACCGGCGGCGAGAGTGCGGGCATCCGGATTTCGAGCTGATCGGATGCGGAAACGGAAATCAGCACCCTGTTCTCGTCGTAACAGAGTCCCTGCACCTCCGCCTAATTGCCGTGAATCAGTCTTCAAAAACGCTGACCGTCGCCCTGCCAGATTATCGATACACAGCTTGCCCGCGAATCAACGCAACTCTGAGCAGCACGCTGCTCGCTCCTTCCCCACTCGAAGCTGCCGCCCTTCAGAATCTGACCCTGTTCTTCGGCTGCCCGTCACGTGCGGGGATTCCGGATACGAGGCTGTCGTGTTCGGTTGCCGGCGATTTGGTATCGTTCTACGCGAACGAGACGGTTGTGAGGGATAGGGATTTGGGAGGGCTGCTTGAGTCATGCACAGGGAGAGTGGTTTTTCCGATTCCGGCGGATGTTGACGGTGGAATCTGGGGGAGGGACGGGGAGGCGCAGCTGCAGAGAGTTCTGGATAGTGGAGTCAATTTGTCATATAGCTACGGAGGTTACCAAGTGCTGTGCGAGCAGTGTGGCGAGTTCGGCGGGTTGTGCGGCACGGCGGCCGGAGGGTCTACTTTCTTGTGTCACTGCCTCGCCGGATCCCAACCGCTCAGTTGCCCTGTATCAATAGGTATGTATTTCCTTCTTTACGGTCTGCCCATCGATTCTTTTGGAAGAACTCACATTATACAGTAAAAATTAAACATAATTCTCATAATAAATAAAATTTATAAAATTTTGCCAAACTACCCAAATTTCAAAGGATTCGAGTCCCATAAACTCGAACAACAAGCAAGTTCGATGATGAAGAACTCGAACTAGAACCACATCGAGTTCCTAAAACTCGATCAAAAGTAGTTCGATTTTGAAGAAATCGATCAAAGTAGATCGATGACAAAGGACTCGATCATAGTAGATCGACTTTGGACAACTCGATCCAGCAAGATCGATGTCAAAAAACTCGATCTAGTACAACGACGTTAGAGCTCTCAATCCATATCTGCACAAGATCGATGTCTTAAAACTCGAACAACACAAATCGATTCCAATGGGCTCGAACCACTGGTCAACCGGCATGCTTCAGGATAGGGTTGCAGGGATAAGATTCTTTGTTGTCATAGATCGAGTTTTAGGGACGCGAATTAGTGTAGTTCGATTACACTGAACTTGAACCACTGCTCAATCATTCTGTCCAGTTGCTTTCGGTCTGACATGCTCCAGAATAGGGTGTAGGGGGTAAAATTATTGGTTGCCCTAGATCGAGTTTAATGGACTCGAACTAGTATAGTTCGAGTTTTTTGGACTCGAACCACTGCATCAGTTTACGAGGATAAAAAGCCATCACTTAGCACATTCTGGCAGCTCTTTTACTTTCTATCTTCTTTCTTCCAAACACAAACTGCAGCTGCTGGAGCACCATAGCTGAGCAAAGAAGAAAAATTTTGGAGGTAAGTTCTGCTTACATTGTTTGAATGAGCATATTAAAATTTTGATTAATTTAGTATTGTTTGTACTGTATTTAATGAGTTGCTTCTATAAACTGCAAAAATGGGTAGAATTAGCATTCATAATCATAAGCTAGAATGTTACCTCGTTGAATTTTGTACGGTCAAGCTGTTGGCGGTACCCGTCTAGAGAGGTGAGTCTCGTGATAGCTCCAATCCATCTAGCACCATAAGCCCATTGTCGTAGTGGCTCATCGGGACCCCAACTGTTGGCAGAGCAGATCGGAGCGAAAGTAATAAGGTGCTCCCAAACCCATAGTTGGAGTATGAACATGGGACCACCCGCTTGCTTTGTTTTCGGATCCGTACACTTGCACAACTCCGAATATATCATCGCCAAACAAGCAGATCCCCAACTTTTTCTCCCAATCTCGTCCCAATCTTCCAAAAGAACTCAAAGCCACATACAATGCATATTTCCACCAGACTTGTTCGGAAACAAAAATCCTCCAACCAAACAAATAAGGTAAATGCTAGCATACCACTCTATCTGAGCATCCGTGGCATCATCCGGTAATTCCCCAACGGTCCTCACTAGCCAAGGTATCAATAGCATAGACTTGTGTAGAGGTGGTACACGACAACCTTCTTGTGCTTCCTCGGGGATGTTGATACCTAAACGCTCGTTTATAAATTGGCCCCAACCATTCAATGGTTTCTGTGAACTTTCTATTATTGCATCACCATCGATTGGAAGCTCTGTCAGCATGGCTACGTCCTTCAACATAATCGTCATCTCTCCCTCTAGAAGGTGGAATGTGTGCGTTTTTTACTCAATCTTTCCACCATTGCCATAAGAAGGTTGTTGTCCATCTCCATCCCCACAAACTTTCGCACCCTCAGCAATCGCTCTCTTTCAATAAAGGGCTCGATACGATCATCCAATTTAGGCAAGCGAGATAGCGACCGATGGGTGATTACGACAAGTTGTTCCTGTAAAAAAACATTAATTATTATACAAAAAAATTAGAAGAATACTATCACATTTAAAAAAAGAAAAGTACATGAGGAGGTGCTTACCGGATCTGCCGCCCAAACGCTTTCAGACCGATGGTAAGGTTGCTCATCCAACAAATCGGTTTCTCGCGGTCCGCCTTGAATGTATAATCTAGGATCGTAAATACTCGAATCCATCTCAACAATTTTGAGTGATAGAAGTACGAAACTAAAGAAAAAAAATCTAATGCAGAAGATCGGGCTTAGTCGCAACCACAGAGCATATTTTTTTCTTCAAGAGTGGTGGGAGGAAGAGAGGAAGAAGAATGGAGTGGCGTGAGTTTTGGTGGAATGTGAGGGGGTATTTATAGGTTTTGTGGGAGAGTGGATCGAGTTTACGTAACTCGAACCCAGTGCATCGAGTTTGGGGCACTAGATCCGCGTCAAAATCAGGTCGAGGGTAGGTGCATCGAACGACTCAGATCGAGTTTAGAGTACTCGATCGACGGTAGTGCGCACCTAACGTCATCGATCCGCGTCAAACAGATCGATTACCACGGACTCGATCCACTGTTATCGAGTTTCCCCCACTCGATCCGCGTCATCACTGCTTCGCGGGTTTGGCAATCGAACGTCCAAGATCGCTTCCCGGTACATCGATCTAGGGTGGAGCGCTGCCCAGGTCATCGATCCAGGTCTTGCTGTTCGAGTCTTCCATCCTCGATACACGTGGATCGATGTGTTGGCAATCGATCTGGTACTAGTTCGAGTTTGTTGAACTCGAACCGTGTCAAACTTTGGTAGTTTGAGAATTTTTTATAAAAGCCAAGTATTCTGGGAATTATTTTTAATTATTACTGTATTTAGAGAATTAATCCGATTTTTTTTCTTTTCTTCCCTTTTTGAGTTTGAATTGTCAGTTTCACACTAACAGCAGCTTGCTCTTTGACGCTTCGGTCTTTCCTAATTTTTTTTTTTTTGCATTGAGGGGAGGCAAAGAGCCTAGAACAGAAAACGGAGGTACAGGGGATTAAGCGGGGAGAGGAGTCCGAATCGCAATACGGCGCTCGAACGTAGTTCCAAGGAGGTCATCCCGAAGAATAGCACTGAGCTCGGATGGCGGTTCGGCAAGCTCATGCATACCGTAGGGATAGACGAGACTGTGCTTCGAGAGCCAGTCCGCGACTCTATTCCCTTCGCGGTATGTATGAACGAGACTAACCAGCCAATCCCTTCCCATATTCCTGCGAATCATCGAGAGAAGCGTCGCATGCGGGTGGAGCGGATCTGATCTATGCTGAATAAGCTGAATTGCCAATTGAGAGTCCGTCTCTATCTTCACAGCCCGGCAGCCAAGCTTCCACGCCAACTCTATCCCGAAGTTGATGCCCCACAGCTCTGCAAGGGCCGCGGTCGCCGACCCGATGTTGGCCACAAACCCTCCCAGCCAACGCCCCGTCGAATCCCTGACCACTCCCCCTGCCCCAGCCGGATCGGGATTTCCGTTCGAAGCCCCGTCAACATTCACAGTGACCCATCCTTCTTGAGGAGCCGTCCAGCCAATATCTGCCCACTGACGCTCTGCAGGCCGCACACGGTTGTCGGGAAGGGGTGCAGGAGCGTTCCAAGAAGTATGCCACAGGTTAGCCTTCGTGAGAATGGAGTGCTCGAGCGAAGGGGCGGTGAGCGCAGCGTTCCTTCCCTGAAAAGCAGTAATACAACGATTCTTCCAGATAAGCCAGGCCGCCATGCTGAAGAAAGCTGGCCAGCTAATGCCATCTGGAGTCTGCCTGTCGTCTAAAAGATTCATCCTCAACCAATCCTCCTGAGAAGTACTGAAGAAGTGCTGCTGTTGCTCGCTCATGATTCTCCTGGACCAGAAGAAAAGAGCCTGGGGGCAGTCTCTTAGAATATGGAGAATCGTCTCGGAAATCCCTGGGCACCTGTCACAGAAGGGGTTAGGAGCAATCTTCTTCGTGAACCGGAGGCCATTGGTAACTAGCTTCCCAGAAAAAGTCAGCCACATGAAGCATCTAATCCGTTCCGGAACGGGGAGCCACCAAATAGTCTTCCAGATCTTCTCGTCCGGGTCCTGCTGCTGCGAACTGAGAAGCGTGAAAGCCGACTTGGTGGAGAAACGGCCGTCGGCTGAAGCAGCCCAGAACAGTGATCCGGTTCCTGTGAAAGAGTGTCCACAGCAATGCTCCGGATCTTTTGGACAATCTCGATCGGCAGAATATTGTCAAAAAGATCAGTGCGCCAGCTCCCGTCGTTCTCCAAAAAGTCCGCAACTGCCGCCTCCTCCATCTCGAGAGGAATGTCGCCAGTCACCAAGTCTCGAAGAGGAACATGCGAAATCCACGGATCAATCCAAAATTTAGTAGTTCTGCCATTCTTAATATTCCAGGCACACCCTTTTTGCAAGAGATGGGCAGCCTTAGAAAGGCTAGCCCAAGTAAAGGAACTTCCCTGAATTGGCCGGAGGACATTTAGGCCCTGTCTATTTCTCCCGTACTTCGCCCGCATCACTCGAGCCCACAGACTGTCCTTCTCTGTGATCAAACGCCACCCCCCTTTGGCTAGCATCGCAAGATTTGCTTGCCGAGTTGGTCTAATTCCAATCCCTCCCTGGCACTTCGGAGCTGTCATTTTCCCCCAGGCGACCAGGTGCATCTTCGTCTTGTCCTCCTCGTCACCCCAAATAAAATCCCTACTGAGCTTGTCGATGGCCTTGCACACGCCGCCGGGAATCAACTCCGTTTGCATGGTATAGACCGGCAGAGAGGCCGCCACTGACTTGGTCAAAGTGATCCTAGCTGCCAGGGAGAGACGCTTGGCCTTCCAAGGGGCCATCCTCTTCTGAATACGGAGAATAAGGGACTGATATCTTTCTCTCGTTACCCGTTGCTGAATCGCCTGAATTCCCAGATACCGCCCCAGGGCCGCTTTGAGAGGGACCCCGGCTAGATGACTCAAACGAGAGGCTCTCCGTCTACTAACGTTGGGGGAGACATACAGGATTGACTTATTGTAGTTGACCTTCTGCCCCGAGCTGAAACAGAAATCCGCTAGGCATTGCTTCACCATCTCGATCTGACTCGTCTCTGCTTCTGCAAACAAAAGGAGATCATCAGCAAAGAATAAATGGGTGAGAGATGGTCCGTTAGCAGAGAGCTTTAAAGCTTTCCATTGACCATTATTCACGGCTTCATCTATCTTGTGAGACAAACGTTCCATACAAAGGACAAAGAGATAAGGGGAAAGGGGGTCTCCCTGACGGACTCCTCGCGAGGGCGAGAAAGATTGAGACATCTCGCCATTCCAAAGAATTCTCATCTTGTTCTGCTCCACACAAGTCATAATGCAGTTGATCCAAGTGCTTGGAAGGCCCACCTCCTTGAGAGTGTCTCTCAAAAAGTCCCACCTGAGTCTGTCGTAGGCCTTCTCCAGATCAATCTTGAAGATCAACCCCCCTTTTTTGCTTCTCTTCCTCTCCAGAGTGTGAAGAACTTCCTGCACGACCATAATGTTGTCTGTTGTTTGTCTCCCGGGTATGAAGCTGCTTTGCCTGGGTGAAACAAGTTTCCTCATGAGGGGTTTGAGCCTGCTAGTCATAGTCTTCGTGATAACTTTGAGGCTGACATTGTTGAGAGATATGGGGCGGAGTTGAGTGACTCTTTCCGGGTTGTCCACTTTCGAAATCAGCACAAGGGTAGACTCCGTGATGGCTTCAGGAAGCATCCCCGTGGAGAAGAAACCCATCGCCATGTCAGAGAGCTTCTTTCCAACGGTTGCCCACAGTTGCTGGTAAAACACGGCATGGAAGCCATCCGGACCAGGCGCCTGGAAAGGTTTCATCTCGAAGACCGTTCTATGAATATCCATAATTGTGAACGGACTTAAAAGGAGCAGCATCTCCGAGTTGTTTAGCCGCGGAAACTTGTTCTTGGGAAGCCTATCCTCATAAGGTGAGTTCTCCTGCAAGAAGAGGTTAGAGAAAAATCAAAGATCAAAACAGCGAGGGAGAGAGGATCCTTCACCCAAGAATCATTTTCGTCGAGCAGAGCTTCAATTCGGTTCCTTCTCCTACGAATATTGACTTGCTGATGAAAATAGGCCGTGTTGCGCTCCCCGTACTTCACCCACTTGTCCCTCGAGCGCTGGAACCAAAGGATCTCTTCCTGCTCCAGGATCTGATCCAGCTCAGTCTCGAGCTTTGCACGCAGCTTCGCCGGACCAGGAGAAAAACTAGCTGCCATTCTGGAATCAATGCCTTTGATGCGCGCCAGCAGGCGATTCTTTTTCTGCTGGATGATGCCGAAAGTGTTGGCATTCCACTCCAGAAGCTTCCCCGCGAGGTTGACAATGGCATCAGGGAAGGCGGCTTGCTGCTCCCACATTTCCGAAACAAAACCCTGCAACTCCTCATGCATCAACCAGGCCGCCTCGAACTTGAAAGGGCGGCTGCTGTTCCGGCTACTATTCTGGTCAGAGACGGAGGTCAGGATGGGAGGTGATCAGAATGGAGCCTGGGGAGATGGATGACCGACGTATTGGGATAGATCTCATTCCATCTCAGATTACAGAGGCTCCTGTCCAACCTGCTGGCCTTGTAAGTGTGATTATGGTCTCCCCTCGTCCACGTAAATTTTGCTCCTGAGAAACCAAGGTCAATCAACTCCGCTCCGTTGATCCTATCATTGAACATTCGACATCTCCTCACGGCGCAAGCAGCCGGGGAGCCGGACTTCTCCTCCAAGGTGCGGATGGCGTTGAAGTCCCCCGTGATGAGCCATGGTGAGTCGATCCATCTGCTCTGCTCGGTAAGGTTGTCCCACAGCCCTTGTTGCTCACTGGGTCTTGGAGACGCATACACTGCCGTCAAGTACCACGACTGCTTGTTGGCCTCATCAATTCTCAAAGACAGGTGCTGGTTGCAAGCAGCAATGGGGTGGACAGTGAACCTTCCAGCATCCCAAAAGACCCAGATGCCCCCCCGTCTACCATCCGCTTCAATACGGATTGAGTTCGGGTAACCCAATCTGTCGCAGACTGAATTCGCAGCAGCTCCGCTAATTTGCGGCTCCAGGAAAATGACAAAATCGGGGCGCTGCTGCTGAATCACAAGCTTCAAAGATCGAAGGAAGGCTCGACCCCCTGCCCCTCCTACATTCCAGGAGAAAATTTTTAACTTAGTATTAATAGACATCGACATAGACATGAAAACGGAAAAGAAAGAAAAAGAAGGAAAAGAGATGTCGAGGAGGAATCAAGGAATCGAGAAGTCGAGGGCGGTCTGTGAAGGATTCGCCGCTTGCTCCTCCCGCGAACCGGCCCCTGCGCCTCCCTCCGTGTTCCCCGTCGTCGAATTGGCCGCCGAGGTCCAGGCGGCGATTTCTTGCATCGTCAGCGCCGCAATTCGTCCTTTGGATTTGGACCTGCGCTCCTTCTTCGGAGTTCCTATATGCAGCCCTCTCAGCGGGCTTAGCTTCGTGGGAGTTCTACGATGATCCGCCTGTTTTGCCTTCCCTCGTTTTGTCCTGTCCTTGGTTGATGAAGGAACAGCAGGTACCTGGGAGGTTGGGCGTTCCACTGGTTTTGGTTGAAGATGAACAATCTGCATAATTGTTCCATTCTCTCCCGTGATCGTTTGGACCGTAGGTGGGCTTGATTGCTGGACTGGCTTCGTATCGGGCTTCAGAGAAGTCTTGGCCAAGCCCATTTGCTGGGAGCCGACCAAAGCCAGGGGTTTGGGCTTCGTTGGAGTACTCGGCTTATCTGAGAATTGGGCTGACGTTGATGCTTGGGCCTGGTCTTTAGGCCCACTCCTCACGTTCATTTTCTTCTCCGGGCCAGAGCCCAAGATCCCCTTACCGTTGCCCTGGGATTCGGAGTAAGTCCCCTTTCCCTTCCTGCCTTCCTCCCCTCCTTTCTTTCCTGATCCTCCTTTCCTTTCTTGGCCAGAGGTCCGTTGGGTATCAGAAGGAGATGCCAGGGACCACGAGGCAGTCATGCCTCCTCCTTCCTTATCCCCACCCCCAATCTTTCCTTGTTTTGTCTGAACACCCCCATTGATATTTCTTGTTTCCCCTTCTGATTTAGCTTTTTGAGGAGTATCCCTAAGATTCCGCCTGTTTTTGCGAGTGACCAATATCCACGGCCCAAAACCCGGGTTTGGTTCTTCCGTTACCGGCTCGGAGGTTCTCCCCGGGGATTCGCCGCCGGTTATCGCCATCAACGCCGGTGGCCTGGCCGTCTGTCGCAGCGGACAGCAGGCTGATGTGTGACCAATGACCCCACACTCGAAGCAAACATCCAGCAAATTCTCATAATCGACCTTCTGCCAAGCGTCATCCAACCAAATGCGGGGCACCAGGGGTTTGGAGAGGTCCACCTCGACCGCCAGTCGAGCAAATTTCGCACGTTGAAGGTTGAGCGTGTGGTAATCGAGCTTGATGGTACGGCCAATGAGATTGCCCAAAGTTGTGAGAACCTCCTTATGGTAGAAATGGATTTTCAAGGCTGGCAGCTGAACCCAGACGATCATCGTCTTCGGGAGAGGATCTGAAACCTTGAAGTTTGGCGTCCATTGTTGGACCGCCAGGTAGTGGTCGAAGATCGTCCATGGTCCGTCTGTGAGGGCTCTGAAATAATCCTGCTCATTGCTGAGCTTTACTAGGAAACAATCTTGGTCGAGGTCGCGAATCTCCATAGAGCCAATAGGTCTCCAGAGGCTGCGAAGGCGAGAGCAAAGGGTATTGAAGCCAATCTTTGTGCCGAGCAGTCGCACCACGATCGTTCTTTGCCAGGGGGCACAAATCCTGTTCTTAAACTCACTGGAGATATTGAGCGCTGGTTCACCATTCCGTTTTCCGGGGATGAGATCATTTTCCCCCACAGGGGTCCATTGTTTCGTTGAAACTTGATCAGCCTCCGACATCCTCCAGCCTGCCACCGCCGAAGCATACGAGAATTTAGGTTGGGGGTCTGTAGAGGAAGTTATCGTCGGAGACGTGGTCGCCGAAGGGTCAATGAGCATGTCCGTTCCTATGGCCGGAGGGAACCCTGCCGGATCAGGAGAGTTATTGGTGAGAGTTGGGCCTGGATCCGGTGGCCGGTCAGGATGGACTACCGGTACCGGAGCAGAGAGCACGGTGTTTACAGTTGAGAGCATTTTAGTAATCAATTAGAGGACGGTCTTTCCTAATTAACGTAGAGCAAAATATGTGTAGAGTACAAGTATTAATGATTAGTTTTGTAGAGTTAATCAAATTTCACACTTGTTAATTTGACTAGAGTTTTTGAATGTTCAAAACCCATTTATGTCCAATTCAAATGAATGAGTTTATTTAGGCCGAGATAATTGGCCATTACTATCAAACAATATTGATTATATCATTAACTATTTTCAATTCAATTACAACTTTAATTTTGTGTTTCGTCTTTGTGTTTGTTTCCTAACAACAAATAATGCAAACACTATATTATAATCCCATATTTACTTTCTTTTGAATGTTCACTAATGTGAGTTTAATTTAGATGTCAAACTAAAAAATTGGATATAATATGTAATACCCAAAATAAATTAAACAAATCTTCTTTATGGTGAGTAACTGTGCTCTATGTATTGTCCAACCATAATTCGTCACATCAGCACCTCTCTAATTTATGGAAAACCTTTAATTTTTTCCCCTTTAAATTTTAACACAAGACTTCTCTTTCGTTTTGAGTGGGAATTAATATTTCTTTGCACAAATAAATCATATTGATTGTGATTTTCAAAATGATACCCACTTTGATATATATTTCAAAATTTTATTTGCCAGTCTATACCATGCTGGTATTGATTGATATTAAATAAGAGCATACCATATGGTATGAAAGTGTACTATGGTGGTAAGAACATACCAGACTGTATGATGGTTGAATACATGATAATAGTAGTATACTAAGTGTCATTTACGATTTTCAATATTGTGTACCACAAGATACCACCCCCATACCAGGGTGTAGGCTGCAAATGAGCCAAGCTGCTCGCGAGCAACTCGGCCTTCAAATCGGAAAAAACTCGTTCGACACTCGACTCGTTGTTTAACAAGCCAGCTCGCGAGCCGACTCATTAGTAAACGAGCCAAGCTTGAGCTAGGTCATGCTCGGCTTGATAAGCTCGTGAGCTAGCTTGACTCGGTGGCTTGTTGAGCTAAGCTCGTGAGCTGGCTTGTTTAAAGCTTGTGGAAGGATTAATTACTCTTCTGAACATGAAAATTATCTTTTTAATAAGGATGTGTATGGAAGTTAGATGTTATTTTTAGTTTCTAGTGTTATTTTTATTATTTTTAATTTCTAATGTTCTTATTTGTACACTTTTTTCAGCAAGAATGGTTTCAAATCGAGCTTATCTTGAGTCGAGCTTGTGCTCAGCTTGACAAGCTGTGTTAATGAGCATTTACCGAGCTCTATCGAGCCGAGCTCGAGCTGGATTATTTTTAATCGAGTCGAGCTCGAGCTGGATAATCAAAATTTGAGTTCGAGCCGAGCTCGAGCTAAAAAATTTATAAACGAGCCGAGCTCAAGCTAAGCAAAAACTCGACTCGACTCGGTTCGTTTGCAGCCCTACCAGGGTGGTATGATGTGGTATTTTTTGGTCTTATATTTTTTCCCCTCAGAAATTTGTAGATCCAATATATCTTGATAAACTTAGTTTTTTTGTACAAATCTTTTAAAAAACGACTGGAAACAAAGAAGATACTATATGGTATGATATTGGTAACGAGAGATATAGATTTTTTTCTCAAAAAATGTTAAAATTGGATCTCATTCTGTAGATCACAACAAACTAGTTCAATATGTAAAGAAAATTCAAAATTCGAATTAGAACAAAAAAATAATAGCCGATTAAAACAAATAGAAAAATAAAATATTTTTAATTAACAAACACTCAGAGCTAAATGGTACGAGTACACTTCCCAGTTTCTGTATAAAAGAAAAATTAAAAAAAAAATCTGGGGCAACTTAAATACAAAGATATAGATTTAGTTATTCACTTAGGTGCTGTTTGCTAATGGAATTTGGATGTTGTATTTGGTCTTCAAATACCAACGATCATGTTTTTTGTCCAAAGCCATTGTTTGTTAAGGTATGCAAATCCGTGGACCCCACGTATTTGCAAATATCATATTTCATTTGGTATTTGCAAATACCACATTATGGCAGATAAATTTTTGAGACCCAAATACCAAATGAACTAAATCTATGACAAAAATTCAATTAAACAAACAATATTATCTTTCAAATACAAAATACAACAAATCCATCATAAATCCAATGATTTTCAAAATCCAAAACCTTTATTTTCAAATCAACAATCAAACCAAACCTTATTCTAGAGTACACATATAAGTGTTGTTTTTTTGCCATCCCTCCCAGAACCTCTAGTCACGGTGACCCTTTCATAAGCTACCCATTTTGGATAGGCAAAATACATTTGTATAGCCAAAACTTTGACGTTTGTGACAATAATAGCCACTTTTTGAGAAATACACAAAATAGCCAGAATTTTCAAAATTTTATGACAAATATAGCCATTTCCGTTACAAACTTTAACGGTTTTAGAAACTCCATCAGTTAGGTTAATGTTAGGCTGACTAGGATGCTAAATCATTGTACACATCAACGACAACTCAGTTGTTGATGACACGTAGACGCCACGTGTTATTTTAATTAAAAATAATTATTTTTATTTAATCACAAAATTGAATTAAAAAATAAAACAAATATGATGAACTATTCCATCTTCTTCCTCATGCCAAGAAGAACAGGGAAGAATAAAATTAAAAATGCAAACGCCTTTCCTTCTCGACTCTTCCTTCAAATCATTCCTCTCCTTCAAATAGTTGATTGCTCCTTCTCTTCTGCCCAGCCGCTCCGTCGATTCCTTCTTAGTCTTCTTCTTCCCGACTGAAATCGACGACCTTCCACAACCCCTCTTCGTCTTCTTCATCCCTCTCTCAATGACTCTTCGATCTCACCGCCGATATCGCTTTCTGGATCCACCCACCTCTGTTCCATATTTCCAGAGATGGCCATCAAAGTCTCAATTGTCCATTGCAAGCCTATCTAGCTTCCTCTGCCTGCGACAAGCCTTATTGAGTTTTGGGTTTCAACCGACAGACAAAATCAATGATTGGGGCTTGATAGCAGAGGCGAAATCGAGTTTGGGTTTCAACCGTAGTCGTCGTCGTCAGTCGGACCTCACCACTGCAACATTCAGATCCTGACGTCAAAATCAACTGTCTCGAGGATTGCCTCCACCCGTCACTAGTCGCCGTGACGAGGAGGAGGAGTTCGACGCCTATGAACAGATCCAGACCCCCCTCCAATCTGGCCGACCGTCTCCTAGAACAAATCCAGACCATCCTCCAATCTCCGTAAACGACCCAATGCTTTAGACGAGTTATTGGATCTCTTTGTTTCGCTATCAGCTAGTTTCCTGAATCAGAAGCTAGAAATCTCGCTTTTTGTGGGAAGAAAAGGAGGGAAGGGAGAGGGTGGACGACGATTTCACGGTGGCGAAGGGAGACCATCGACGTTGGGGACGATGAAAGTGACGGAGAGTTTGTGGTTGGGAACGTCCCCTCAACTGCCCATTTTAATTATTTTTTTTTGGGAAGGGATTGAAAATTGGAACGGGAGAGCGAGAGTAAAAATATTAATTAGTTTATTTTTATTTTTTCAGTTAATTCCATGTCACATTTTAATTAATTAAATGTCGCCAGGTCAGGATTTCCGTTAGTCTAGTCAGCACGTTAGATAACACCGTTAAAGAATTGGACGAAAGTGGACATTTTGTGTATTTCTCAAAAAGTGGCTATTATTGGCGAAATCGTCAAAGTTTTGACTATGGAAGTGTATTTTGCCTTTTGAATATTGGTTGATCATGAATTCTTCCGGCGGCGATTCTTCCAATCCTCCTCTCCATGACCTCACCCTTGATCGAACTCCCTTCCACACCTCATCCAAGTTGGATGATCCAACACTCCTAATCTCTCCCACAATTGTAGCTGCTGGCCTCTTCCTGGTAAGGGTGGACATTCGGTCGGTTTGGTTTCGACCGAACCAAAATTATGTATACCGGGTCCCAAATTCTCCCAACCTCAAATCGAATTCGAACCGAATTATAATTTGGTTCAGTTGGTTTAAATCGAATTATAATTTGGTTCGGTTCGGGTTTTCACACAAAACCGAATTTTTGAAGTTACTTGTATCTTCTCACTTTTAAATTATTTTTCACCCCTAACATAAACAATAAATATGCAATTATATACATCATCAATATAAAAATCAACCTTTTCAACACATAATTCATAAAACATTTCAAATATTTAAATCTAAAAACAACTACAAACATAAAAATCCACCATTTGGAGCTTGCAATTATAGTATATATTTCGGTTTTTCGGTAGGAAATTCAGAAATTCGGTTCAGTTGAAAAAACCCTGATTTCCGAACTATCCATATTTTCCTTCCGAATTCCGAACCGAATAACATTAATTCGGGTTTACCGAACCGGTTGCCCACCTCTACTTACTGGATCTGAATCCCTTTCCCCATTCCTAGCCAATTAATTGCTCTACTAACTCCACGCATTCTTCTTTCGCCGTCTTCCTCTATCAGCTACCTGAGGTGGTTGGTGAAGAAATCCTGAATGCTAGGTGCCAGCAAGTGGTGGAGCCTCCCGTCCGCCGGGGGAGATAGCTAGCAGCAGTTCTGGTAGGGTTATCGGTGATTACAGCGAGATTTTGAAGATGGGTTTTGTGTGGACCTGGGCTGCCGTTAATTGCAGGATGCCAGCATCGTCAACGCAGTGGATGGCGGTCCGGGTTTGAGAATAATCAATTTGTTTGTCTTTGCCTCCATGGTCACCGACCCACTTCACTGTTGCTGCTGCTGCTTGTTCATTCTCAACGCGTTAAACAAGGAGTCGTGTTATTGGTAATTGTTGAGTGAATTTTTATGACTTTTCATAAACTTGTGGGTGTTGCTGAATTGTGGGTCTTATTCAAGAATCCAAAAAGCCAGCGTATTAGGTATATGCTTTCATATTGGTTTCCAGTGAATAACCATTGTTTGAATTAGACTTGGTACAAGAAAAGAAAAAGACGGTGAATTGTAGCACATTTGCGGCGGAACTAACTTCCGGGGCATTGTTTCAGCTCCTGGAACTCATCTGGCCTTGCGCATCACCTCCTTCGTTTTCATATACTAGATAGCCATAACCTTCTCCTGTTATACTCTTGTGCATGAACTGTTGATAAAATTAGATAGCCATAACCTCTGCATTTTGGAATATTCACTTTGAGGAAGTCTTCATGAGTTAGTTGTTCTCTTATGCTACTTACCTGCTTGATCTTGAATCCCTTGTTTTATTTGCATCAAAAATGTATCTTGGCCGCTAATTTGTTGTTATTCTGACTTGTGATGCAGGCAGTGATCCAAATGTCAAGGTGAAGGTTGCGATAGGTAAGCTGCTGCCATGAATTTCTGTTCCTGTTCCATTGGGTATCACTTGCTAATAGCTTCCAACGCTGAGCAAAGATTGAGTTTGAGAATGATTGTCAATACCCTTTTATCCAGGTGTTGGAACGGCTGTTGGGAGTGTGGTCATAATGCTCATTCTCTTCCTCTTTTATCTTCGGCATAGAAGGCAACAACAATATTCAGCTACCACTTACTCGTTATCTAGAAGCATATTTTCAGACCCTTCTTCAAAAGTGGAGGTTGAGAAGGGTGCTAGCAAGTATTTTGGCGTTCAGGTCTTCACGTATGCAGAACTAGAGGAGGCCACCAATAACTTCGATTCCTCTTATGAACTTGGAGATGGAGGCTTTGGTGCTGTATATTATGGTAACTGAAAATTCAGTTAGCACAACAATCTTGTCAAATTCCATTTTCCCCCACTTACAAACCCTGTTGTTTCCCAAACAGGTAAAATCAAGGATGGGCGAGCTGTTGCAGTGAAACGCCTATACGAAAGCAATTACAAGCGAGTTGAACAGTTCATGAATGAGATTGAGATTCTAACGCGCTTGCGCCATCCTAATCTGGTCTCCCTATACGGATGCACATCTCGCCACAGCCGCGAGCTCTTGCTAGTCTACGAGTACATCGCTAACGGCACGGTGGCAGATCATCTCCATGGTGAAAAGGCAAAACCTGGAGCCCTGCCATGGTCCACTCGAATGAACATCGCCGTGGACACTGCAAGTGCCCTCACATATCTCCACGCCTCCGAGATCATTCACCGTGATGTGAAGACAAACAACTTTCTCCTGGATGAGAATTTCCTTGTCAAAGTAGCCGATTTCGGGCTGTCCCGGCTCTTTCCTAACCATGTCTCCCATGTCTCCACTGCTCCACAGGGGACACCCGGTTATGTTGATCCCGAGTATCACCAGTTCTACCAGCTGACTAGCAGGAGCGATGTTTTCAGCTTTGGAGTGGTCTTGGCTGAGCTCATTTCATCGATGCCAGCTGTCGATATCACGAGGCATAGACATGAGATCAACTTGTCTAACATGGCGATCAACAAGATCCAAGGCGATGCTCTGCACGAGCTTGTGGACCAGAGTTTGGGGTTTCAGTCGAATGCTTTGATAAGGAAGATGGTGACGGCAGTAGCAGAGCTGACATTTCAGTGTCTACAGAGTGATAAGGACTTGAGGCCTTCAATGGATCAAGTGTTGTCTACTCTACAGGGCATACAGAGAATGGGGGACGAATTAGATGAAGCTGTGTCGTCGAAGAGTGTTGCTGCTCAGCACTTACCACTATCGCCAAATTCTGTAATTGGGAAATGGGCTAGCGTTGGTACAACTCCTAACACCAGCAGTTGAAGCATTGGAAGGAGAAGCAATGCAGTTGATGTAAGTACATTTTCCCTCACGATGGTTTTGATGGTATTTTGACGAGGATGTATACTATAGTTGAAGGTCGTTAATAGATGTACAAAGCTAAGCATGTGAGTTCATACGTTGTTAAAAGAAGAGTAGCTAATGTGTTCCCCGAAACTATTGTTATGCTATAGCACTAGTACATTGGGCGGTACAACAATACGACTTATCTTTTTGATAAGGAAACCAATTTAGCAATACAACTTATCTGACAACCGATGTTTTTTCATAAAATGGCGATCTATGTTTGTTTTTTTTTTTTTACAAAATATAATCATTTATATTGATTAGAGCAAGAGATCATTATACCCTGGAATTTAACCAAGCAAGAAAATAAAAAAATAGCATGTAGTCAAGTATAATGAAAGGACTTTTCTAGAACTACCCTATTATTACTCCGATATACAAATTGCATATTAAGTCCATCGTACTCCGTGAAATACCGCACAACCTCCTCAAGGATGACACCAATCCAATTATTACTAGTATTGGCCTGATTAATTTTATCAATGACCATTTTGGCGTCGCCTTCAAAAATCGTCTCTGTAAACCCGTTCTCTAGACACAAGAGAATAGTCTCCCAAAGAACGAGCAACTCGACAAATATTGGATTATCAATACCATCAAACTGCATCCCTCTAGCCAAAGAGGATCTGCCCACCTTCGTTCATTACAATCATTGCTCCTGTCGAGTGAGACTCACTCTTAGTAGCCCCATCACACATACAGACAACAAAATTCGGGTGGCCGACACTCAAAGATTGAGCTTGTGGGATGGCTGATCGCTGAATATGGTCAACTGCCAAACAAATCTACTCTTGGTATTGCTGGTGGAATTGCCGCATTAGAGCTGGGATACCAAAATTTTCCCCTCAAATACAACCCAATTTTGTGAGCACCAGATCCTCCATAGGGCGGTAACAACCGCCATAAAAAATTGAGGTTAGTGTATCAATAACATCAACTTCTTAAGTAAAAGCGGAAACGTGTGACGAGGCAAACCTTGGCCAAGATATTCGAGCCCCAAATGATTCCATAAAGCCCTAGCCACTGGGCAATCCAGAAACAAATGCTCCATTGGTTGTGATTCCGCCTAACAAACCGGGTACCTCGAGAGCATCAGAACATCCTTCTCAATAAGAGCTTTTGTCGTTGGAAAGATACGATGGAAAATTTACCAAAAGAATACTTTTAATTTGGCTGGAATATGTGCGTCCCACAAGCAAATCCAGTCGACCTATCTATCCAACTAGCTACGGACCGCCAAAGTCCATCATGCTTATCTAACAAGACTGCAAAATGATAAGCCAACTTACAGTGAACACCCCGTCACACGTGTCGTGTCAGATCAACATATCCTCCACATCCTGAAGAGGAAGCGGAATCGCTTTGATTGCACGACAAGTTGCTGGGTCAAATCATTGGCTAAGTTTAAGATCATACCACCGACCCTCCCCTTCGCAAATCACCTCCACCACCCTAGGATCTCCATACATTGGCAAAACCTGTGGATTATAAATAGGGGCATGGGGGTGTAATCGAGGAATCCATAGTGAGTGCATCAAAGAAGCTGACCCCCATTTCCAATATGCCATCATAGGCCCTGGACTAATAACTGACGACAAAACATGATACTCTGCCAGCCCCATGACGACCGAGACATTGTCGTGGCAGTGAGGAAAGTCCCAATAAGAAAATATTTCCCTTTGTATACCTGTGCTAGGAGTGAATGGGGTTCGTTCAGGATGCGCCATCCAATCTTAGCCAAAAACGCCTGATTAAAATGTTCGAAACGACGAAATCCCATGTGCCCATCGTGCTTACTCCAACTCATATTCCGCCAAGACATCCACTGTATCCAGGAATGCCATCCTTCAACACCCCACCAAAATCTGACCACTTGTCTGTCTAAGAGACGCGAGAGAGAGAGAGTAAGTCTAAAGCATGACATAACAAGTAACGGCAACGCCAAACGGCTGATTTAATCAATGTCTCCTTAGCAGCACAAGAAAGTGTTTGTTGCTTCCAACCCTGAAGGCTGAAGCCGACTCATAAGCTTTTCATCCAAAAACCGGAATGTAGCCATCTTAGATTGGGACACCAGTGTGGGAAATCCTAGATACTTGTCCTAGACCCCTACAGCCCCAACTCCTAGAATCTGAGCAATAAATTCTTGGTTTGGAAGAGCAACATTTTTACTAAAGCATACCGCTGATTTCGCCAAATTCACCGTTTGACCACTGAGATCCTCGTACTCATTTAAAACATCAATCAGATTCTCACATTCATGCAAACAACCTATGAGGAATAAATACGAGTCATTTTCAAAAAATATATGTGAGATTCGTGGAGCACGAGAGGCAACTTTAACCCCTTCTAGCTTCCCTGCAGAAATGGCCTTCCGAAGGAGCGCTGCAAACCCCTCCGTACGAAGTAGAAACATGAGAGGGTACAACGGGTCCCCCTGTCGCAAACCTTTAGAGGGTGCAAAGAACCCCGAGGGTGTGTCATTCATGAGGACCGAGAACGACGCAGAGCTAAGACATTCCTGGATCCAGCTTTACCAGGTAGAGTTAAAACCCAATTTGTCCAAAACCACGAGGAGAAATGTCCATTCGACTCTATCATAGGCCTTTTCCCTGTCAACCTTTAGAGCCATGTACCCTTTCTTGCCCTTGGTTTTGATTTTCAAATAGTGCATTAGCTCATGTCCTAGTAAGACATTCTCCATTATTTGCCGTTCACAGATGAAAGCATTTTGCCCCTCCGAATTTGAGACCTCCATGTTAACATTGGTCTGACAGTATGCATATGCGTATTATCTATGAAGGTAATAATAGGTGCTCAGTTTGGTCTAAACCAGTGTTTGGTATCCTAAACTTTCACTTGGACTGCCTATCTATTTGGGGGTTAATATATTTATACGGCATGGACTTTTCACATATTAAACATCCTGGTCAATCTTTTCGATCTATAACTTCGTGGCTTAAATTATGCATCAAAGTTACGAAATTGGCCAAACCTGAGATTTGACTGTTATCTTGGACGGTCAAACGCGTTGACTAATGGTCAACACGTCACATCTCCGCCAAGTCAGCACAAATCACTTAAAAAAATTATTTTTTCCATCTATATATATTTATCTTTTTTATTTTGAACAAAATGAATAAAGAAAAGAAAAAGAAAATTGTTTTTCTGGAAAACCCTTATATCTCCCTAAAAATTAAAAAACCCCGCCTCCGCGAGATTGGACCGCCCACTCCGTCTTTACCTACTATGGCGTCTTCTGTGCTCCCTCCCTAACCAATCCCAAACTCTGCGTCGTCGCCGACATCGACCTCAAACACGCCGACATCGCCGGGTACCTCCCCAATGAGCTCGACCTCCTCACAGATCTGCCTCTTTTCCACATCAACTCCAATCGGTTCTGCGACATCGTCCCCAAGTTGTCCCGCAAGCTCAAGCTCCTCCACGAGCTCTACATAAGCAATAATCGCTTCGTCGGAGAGTTCCCCACCATCGTCACTTCGCTCCCTTCCCTGAAATTTCTAGATCTAAGATTCAACGATTTCGAGGTCTCCGTCCCTTTTGAGCTCTTCAACAAACCCATGGATGCTCTGTTTTTGAATGATAATCGGGTCACCGTGTTCGATGTGAGCTTCAATCATCTCTAAGGTTCGTTGCTTTCGAGTATTGGGAACGTGAATAAAAAAGGATTTTTCCGAAAAATAGAAATTCTTTTTTTTTTTAAAATAAAAAAGATAAATGGAAATGGGCGGAAAAAATAATTTTTAAGTTATTTGTGCTGACTTGGCGGTGATGTGGCGTGTTGACTATTAGTCAACACGTTTGACCGTTCATGATAACGGTTAAAACTCGGGTTTGACCAATTTCGTAATTTGATGCATAGTTTAGGCCACAAAATTATAGATCGAAGATTAGCCAGGATGTTTAATATGTGAAAAGTTCAGGCCATACGAATATATTAACCTCTATTTGGGGTTGCTGCACATTTACTAAGTTCTGGTGTTGTGTTTGTATCTCAAGGCTTGGTTGCTATAATCAGCTTTGACGTGTTTTCCTGCCTTAAGAAGAAAACCCATGTACAAGCTATGTAACACTTGCATCAGAGAGCAGAACATTAAACTCACAGTAACAGAGTTAGCTAGAAATTAGGATGTCTATCTAAACCTTCACAACGGGATCCTAATTTCAGTCGAAAGGTTCCTTCTCTGTTTCATTAGTTTGCTTGTCTTTCTATTGAGTTTGCTCTTATAGGGTTGTTTTGGAAGTTAATTACAAGTAAAATGAAAGAACAAATTTATAAAATAAGTTATGCAAGTTGAAAGAGTGGAAAAGGAAGTAAAGCTTGTGTTGTCCGTCTATATTTTTCGGTGTAATTCCAAATTGATTGAAACCAAAACCATTTATTCTTTCTTGATCCATAATTATCACTACACTTCCGCTAATTTCCAACAAATTTGGTATTAGAGCTTATACCAATATATCTTCTCAAATACCCATTTTCTAGCCTGCAATTATTTTTTTTCAAAATAACCATGATAACAGTTTTAGTAAACATTAGAGTGCCCAAATAAAGACTATCTTCATTTCTCAATATCTATGAGATATCATCCAACATGGCTACAAAGATCCACAATAAGAGAGAATCACAAAAAATGAGCATGCGAGCTGACAAAAGAGTATAAGGAGAATGTCAAGCAAAATGCCAGCGCCTTGAGAGTTAATTAGAAAGCAGTGAGCAAGTCAAGTTATCAAAGAATCTATGGCTTAAAAAAGGCCAAAGAAGTTTGGAATGTCTTGCATCAACAATTTCAAGGTTTTGAGAAGGTGACACGCCTCTACCGTCACACTAGAAAGTAGCCAAGTGTAACCACCTACTAATGCGTAGTATAGCGGGTTCAGTTCTAATTGTCAACCCGGGTCCTAGGCGTGATGACTACTCCGTGAAAGTCTTGTTATCTAGCGGTTCAAGTGTAGTGAATGTTTAGTTAAACTAGCAAGCAAAGCAGTGAAAGTTGTGTTCAAGTTGAGAGAGGTCACTCGGATATGGTTCCCCCTAGACTGCAGTTAAGTCAGGTTGTAATTTACCAAGTTCAAGTTCAATGATAGTTATACTGCGGGAGGTTCTTAAACAGTCTGCAGTCTCGACTAAAGGTCTCCAGACCCTCTCAATCTGAGTCCCCAGCGGGCGA